AAACGCTAGACCCTAAACCCTAGACCCTAAACCCCAAACCCAAAGTTGCTTCCCGGAAGGGGGTTCTCGCAGCGTCGGCGAACGCAAAGACCCAGGGGATGAGGAACCGACTTGGGAGGCATATTCCTTACGGCTTGGGCTCGGGGTTTGGGGTTTAGGGTTTAGGGCTTAGGGCTTTTAGGGTTTAGGGTTTAGGGCTTCAGGGTTTTAGGGTTTGGGGTTTAGGGCTTGGGGTTTAGGGTTTAAGCTTGTTGGTGTTTGTCGTTGGTTTGGGATCTACGGTCCGAAGTCCCTACAAATTAAGCACTTTAGCGTTCAGGCTTCAAGCGTGTGCACCCCTAAACCCTAAACCCTAAACCCTAAACCCTAAACCCTAAACCCTAAAGTGTGCAGGCTCTTGGGGCTTTGGGATTTCGGTGGTTTCGAGCCTGTTCTCGCAACTCAATCTTGCTGGCCACGGGGTTTTAAGCCTTTTCGAATTTGCTTCTTCCCTCCGGCTAAACCCTAAGCCGCTAAACCCTAAACCGCTAAACCCCAAACCCCTAAACCTGCCTTCCGGGGTGCTCAGGACCACCCATGCTCACCAGCTCCAGCAGGGCCTTCGCCGTGTGCTTCGGATCACCTCAGGGGCTCTCTTGCATTGGGGTTTGGGTTTGGGGGGGCTTAGGGGTTTCAGGGTTTAGGGGTTTAGGGTTTAAGGGTTTAGGGTCTCGGGGTTCAGGGTTTAGGGGTTTAGGGGTTTAAGGGTTTAGGGATTTAAGGGTTTAGGCGTCTCTGCTGAAAAAAGCAAGATCGAAACAAAAAACGATAACCATTACAAGCCCTACAAACAAAACACCAGAAAAAATACTAGCAAAGTCACCATAACCCAAAAAGCTAACTCCAGGAGAGAGCGAGAGAGAAAGAGAGATAGAGAGAGAGACGGGAGGCCGGCCCTAAACCCAAAACCCTATATATAGAAGCCCTGACAAGCCTAAACCCTAAGCCCTAGACTCCAAACCCTGAACCCGACACTCCTCAACCCTAAACTGTTCCTGATTGGAACCGCTTTTGGGCTGCAAGGCTGAGATCTGGACCTTTCTCCTCTCCGATGGGTGGTAGCCCGATCCTGTCTGCAGTGCTTCGACATCATAGGAGCACCCTAAGTACGGTTTAAATGATTACCTATACTATTTTGGGGCGGCTCCGTATTATATTTATATAACGGGCCCCCGAGCCCTATTCTAATTATTAAGGCCCCTATACTAAACCCTTACACTAGCCCTAATGGTAACCCTTATAGACCTTGCCAAGGAGCCCTACTCTAATTATTGCCCTAATGGCAACCCTTATAGACCTTGTGTAGGAACCCTAGTCTAACTATGAAGGCCCCTAAATTAAGCACCCTAAACCCTAAACCCTAAACCTTAAACCCTAAACCCTAAAACCTAAACCCTAAACCTTAAACCCTAAACCTTAAACCCTTTAAAGGCTTAGCAGCCTTGTGGGGTTTAAGGGTTGAGTGCTTCGGGTTTGGAGCTTGGGGGGTTTATGGGGCTTAGGGGCTCGCGGAGCTGGAGTTGAGGGTGTAGGGTTTAGGCTTGTGGGGTTTAGGGGTTTAGGGGTTTAGGGTTTAGGCTTTAGGGTTTAGGGGTTTAGTGGTTTAGGGCTTAGGGTTAAGGGGTTTAGG